GTCACTCTGAAATGTAGGTAGTAACCTCTAAGCCCTTCATCCATAAGCTTTGGAGCAGGAGCAGGCAGGCACGGGCGAGGGGAGTTGAGGCTGGCGGCCATTCTTCCATGCCAGAGGAGGCATGTGGTCCCAGCATGCAGAGCTCTGAGCCAGGAGCCCACAGAAGCCATGGAGCTGGGCTGTGGTTGGGCACAGGTGATAAAGGAAGGCCTCACACCACTTCCAGAATCTTTGTTCCAACCTCTGGTCCCCAAGCATGCTTTATGTTGGGTGCAGTCACGAGACCTAATTGTCCTGGACTGCAGCCAGCTTCCTGCTGAGCTGGCTGTGTGCAGACAGGCAGCCTGCAGGGCAGGGGAGCCAGCCCTGGAAGCAGAGGCTTATCTGCCTTCTGGGCTGGGCCAACAACAAGATGATTGTTCAGTTCACGGCTGGGTGGGCATCCACAGGGACCCACCCCTCAATCTCTGGACCCTCTCTGGGGCGGCCCTGAGCAGAGGAGTCTGGGACGCAGCACTGAAGGAATGGACTCGGGAGCACACTGGGCCATGGGCTGGCTTGGAGGGTAGATGCCAGCTCCCTCAGCCCCGTTTCCTTTTGCTGTTGCCCTGCCCTGACTCAGGCCCACCTCCTTCACCCACGAAGCCCCCTCCCTGTCCTCTGCCTCCCGCTCCCTGCTCATCCCATGCATCCTGCCACTGGATCCCAGAACTGTTGTTGAGGTGCAACTCCAAGCCCATCACACCCTGTTCTAAATCCACCCAAGGCTCTCTTCTGCCCCCAGGGCCAAGCCAGGCCCTAAGCAAGTGTAGGGGCATCCAGCTGGGCCAGCTCTGCAGGCTCTGTCGCCCACCCTCCTCCCCGAAAGTCCTCACGTGTCTTAAATAGGCTCCAGGCCTTTGTGTTCCCACATCTGGCATGCTGCGCCTTCTTCCCACCTGAACCCACTCTTCCTGGTCTGTCGCACCGGATGTCAGCCTCCCCTAGGAGCCTCCCCCCGAGCCCCTCTGCTGGATTCTTCCTCATCCGCTCCCCTGCGTCCGATGTCCCAGTCACCTCTATGTCTGCAGCAGGGGGCCTTGGCAGGTCAATAAATGAATGAACAAGTGGGCAGCTGATAAGCTGGGGACAGTGAGTGGGTGAGGGTGGCAGAGGGGACTCAGAGGTGTGATAGCCCAGGGCTCTGCGTCATCCCAGAGCCCCTCCAGAGGGAGGGAGATTCACTGGGGCTGGTGTTAAAAATGTAATTGCCAGCCTGACCCCAGCGCTTCCTGAGTTGAATCTCTGGGGCTCCCAAGAATGCATTTTCAGCACACAGCCTGGGCCACCCCTGGGTGAGTCCAGGTCTCCTGCCCACCTGAGGGTCTACTTTGGGGTAGCCTCAGCCAGGTTCGCCCTGACCTGCCTGGGCTTTGCCATGTCCTACCACTGGCTTTTCACAGCTGGCCCTCAGTGCTGGGAGGGGAGCCAGCATCCCAAGCCACTCAGTGCCCCCACGGGCCCCACAGACTGCATGCCAGTGAGGGAGGGCCCTGATGTGGCCAGGCTCCAGAGACAGGCGGGAGCAACCTGGCCTTGGACACGAGTCAGTGGTGGGCCCGGGTCTGCTCATGATGCCTGGGAGGCTCCTCCCTCGGATCTTAGCTCCCCTTCCCATGATCTCTTTGGGAGAGCCAGAGAGCACAAGGCCAGTGAGGGCTGGGATCTGGCCTTTACCAGCCCTGTTTCTGGGTAACAGGCAGTGGGCTGGCCTAGTGGGAGCAGGAGAGTTTGCTGGGAGGCCTGCCTCAGGGCTCGGCAGGGACAGTGAGACAGCAGCGTGGAGAAGGGCAGCGGAGAAACCCAGCCGGCTCATCCTGGGAAGGCCACAGATTTGCAGTGCACGATCCACGCCCCTTGGGGCAGGGCCCCACACCCCCTTCCCAGCTGCACAGTCCCCAAGGGCACCTTCCCAAAATTCATCTGCAGCCCTCCTGTTGAAGTCCCTCCAGCAGCCTTCCACCCTCGGCAGCAGCATGTCCCAAGCTGGCATGGACACCCTTAGGCCATGCACACACCATCCTGACCCCTTTGTCACCAGGCCCCACCTTCCTCTCCCACCTTTACCCCCACCCTGCAGTGTCCACATATAGAATCCCCTTTCTCCAGGCTTACCATCTCATACTTCCTATCCAAGCTCCCAGAAGCCCTCCCTGAGCCCTAGGCAGAGGTGGCCACCAGCCCTATCATGTGGTCAGTGCTGTGGTCATGTAATTCTGTCTCCTGTTCCCCACACACAGAACCTCAGGGTGCGGAGCAGCGGGGGAACAGAGTTCTTCACACGGTCAGCCACCAAGTTCAAGGGTGCCCTGGCCCAGAAGTTCATGTTTGTGGATGGAGACCGGGCCATCTGTGGCTCCTACAGGTGATTCTACAGCTTTCTGGGGGCTGCAGGGCGGGGAGTGGCTCCAGTTCCCAGCTGGTTTCTGCCCTTAATCCTGCCTTATGACACCCTGGTTATTCCGGTTCATGGTCCCAAAACTGCTGAGCCATGAGCGGGACTGGGGCCTGCCTGCAAGCCGCCTGCCTATCACAGAAGCAAGCAGAGGAGGGCTCTTGTCCATGAGACTATTGTCCTAGCCTGGAGGTGGGTGTGGGCTAGGCCAGGCCATGCCTTCCAGGCCCACAGGACGGTCACTCTGAGAGCCACCCTTTGGGAATGGGGCCATGATGAGGATGGCTGTGGTCTAGCCCTTGAGCCCCACCGTGCAGAGACAGCAGGGCAGAGGCTGCCCACGGCCATTCAAGGGGTTAGTGGTGGCAGAGAGCATGACACCGCCAGCCACTGTGTGCTGGATGACACAGGTGTCCAGAGCTGCTCCGGGCACTCTGAGTGGCCATACAGAGTGCTGTAATACCTGACTGCTGTTCACACAGTGGGGAGCGAGCTCGTGTAAGTACTTGCCTCAAGTCCCAGATGCACGTCTGACCCGAGGCTTGTGCCCTGTCCTCTGCCCCTACTCACTTCTAGATCCCATCCAGGGCCCTGTAGCCACAGTCTGATGAACACCTGCTGCAGGGGGGCCAGGAGAATGCCCTATGCAGGGCCCAAGGGAGGAGACTGGCCCCCATGTGCCTGACCACACTGACCCTCCTGTGTTGCAGCTTCACTTGGTCGGCGGCGAGGACAGACCGGAATGTGATCTCTGTGCTGTCCGGCCAGGTGGTGGAGATGTTCGACCGACAGTTCCAAGAGTTGTACCTCATGTCGCATGGTGTCAGCCTCAAGGATATCCCCATGGAGAAGGAGCCGGAGCCGGAGCCCATCGTGCTGCCCTCTGTGGTCCCCCTGGTGCCCTCGGGCACCATGGCCAAGAAACTTGTCAACCCCAAGTATGCACTGGTCAAGGCCAAGAGCGCCGATGAGATCGCCAAGAGCTCCTCAGAGAAGCAGGAGGTCAAGAGCCCCCCAGGGCTGCGGGGCCCAGGGCTGGCCGAGCGGCCGGGAGACTTCCCCGAGGCACCCCTACCAGTGCACCCGGGGCTGCTCAACCTAGAGCGGGCCAACATGTTCGAATACCTGCCTACGTGGGTGGAGCCAGACCCGGAGCCTGGTAGCGACATCCTGGGGTACATCAACATCATTGACCCCAAAGTCTGGAACCCCCAGCCCAGCCAGATGAACCGCATCAAGATCCGAGACACATCCCAGGCTAGTGCCCAGCTGTGGAGGCAAAGCCAGGACTGCAGCCCCGCCCTGGAGCCCAGTGCCGCCCAGGATGGGGTCCCAGCCGAGAATGGCCTCCCCCAGGGAAACCCCAAGCCACAGCTCCCCGTGCCCGAGCCCAGGACAGTCCCTGTGGCTGAGCCGCTTTCCCAGGATGGTGGTGGTGTTGGCTGGGCCCTGGAGACCCCAGAAGAGAAGGCACCCCAGAACGGAACAGACCATGAGCTGCCCAGGACACCAGGCCCAAGCCATGCCCCACTCCAGCGGCAGCTGTCTATGACCCAGAATGACCCTGACAGCCAGGGGGCAGCGGTCCCCAATGGGCTAGATGGGGAGGGGGAGGAAGACGACGACGACTATGTGACCCTCAGTGACCAGGACAGCCTCTCGGGTGGCTCCAGCCTCGGCCCTGGCCCCCGCCAGCCCTCGGTGGCCTCGTCTGTGTCAGACGAGTATTTTGAGGTGAGGGAGCGCTCAGCCACTCTCCGGAGGCGCCACTCAGAGCACATGGCCAATGGGCCCGCCCAGCCCCCACTCCGGCAGTTGAGCGCACCCCACATGACCCGCGGGACCTTTGGTGGACCCCTGGGTGGCTCGCTGTGGGCCCAGGATCGGGAGAGGGAAGAGGCGAGCACTCCGAGGAGGATGCAGGCCCCACATGCCTCGGATAAGGAGACACAGGTGGGTTGGGGCTGGGGGTGGTAGGGGGAGTCCCGGCACGCCAGGGGTCCTGGGAGGCCCTGACCCAGGCCTGAGCGCCCCTAGCCACCATCTGCTGGGGACCCTGGCTCAGAGGGCTTTCCTTGTTACAAATGTGGGAATGGATGAGCAGGGGAAGGGGGTGGGTAGCAACCACCCAGGCCACACATGTGGCAGGTCATTGCCAATGTAGGAGCCCAGTGTCCCCTAAAGGCAGCCAAAGCCAAAAGGACCTTAAGCCAAAAGGAAACTTAATATATACAGGGTTTCAGACGTGAAGTGTTACAGGAAGCTGACTCTGCCCTGCCATGTGGGTGGTCTGCTCCCTAGTTTGAGGACAAGGAAATGGCGGCAGGACAGAGGTGTTCCTTTACACACCTGCAATCACCCAGCAGTAAGTGTCCCTTGTCTGGACCTTATGCCAAGCCACCTCCCTGCTGATCCCTTTGATTGTGGCCCTGGGGACCACTATCTCCAACGCCAGAGCACAGCTTGCATTCATTGTTTGCCTCTCCTCCTGGTGACTCTTGCAGGTCAAGGACACAGAACCCTGGGGACCCTGTAGCCCCAGCGCAGCCCCTGCAGTCTGTCCTACCTGGGAATAGTGCACGGCTGATCATGCCCGGCATGATCATCAGGCCCATGGGCAGCATCTTGAGGTAGCTGGCCAGGATGGAGCCCGCCTTGGCATGGTTCAGGTCCCGGGCAGACAGTGATCGCTGCACGATGACCTAGGGCAGGAGACGGAAGTGAGTCCCATCCCCCTCAGGGACACCTGTGGCAGGATCTCTCCTTGGTGGGCCTCAGGTAGGGGCATGAGATCCCACAGTCCTAGACGCCTGAGACAGCTGCAGTCTGACCCTGATTCCTGCAGCTTTCCCACCAGAAGCAGAGCATCCCCACATATCTGAGCATCCGGGGCCAAGGTACTCTTGTTTCTGGACTCGGTCTCCCTGTCCATCGAATAGAGAAGTGTGGGTCCTGCCCGGCCTGCCACACTGGCAGTTGTCAAGCCTGGAGAGACCCTGGCTGGGCTGGTATCAGGGGACCCCCCATCTCCTGCACCCTCACAATTGTGGCTGGCATGCAGGAACAGATGCTGGCACCAGCTGTGTTTTGTGTCCCCGGCAGAATCAAAGCTTTAGGACCTGAAGTTGGGGAAGCTTGCAGTTCAGCAGTGAGGGATGCTAGCCCATGAGGGCAACTCCCCATGTAGCTTTAGGCAAATCCTAAGTGGGTCTCAGTTTCCAGATCTTCAGAATGTGAGAGGGAGGGAGGGGTAATTGGAGCTGATGGTGTCTTGACATCCATCCTGGCCTTGATAGTGTTCATTCTACTTCTTTTTTTTAAAGTGTAACTTTAAACATCTTTACCAACATATAATTCACATATAGTTAAGCCATGTAAAGTGGCTTTTAATATGTCCACAGAGTTATGCAATCTATAACTTTTAAATACGTTTGACCCTTGAACAGCACAAGGGTTCAGGGTGCTCCTTCATGTAGTCGAAAATCCACTTTTGACTCCCCCAAGACTTTACTTATTAGCCTACCATTGACAAGAAGCCTTAATGATAATATGAACAATTAACACATATTTTATACATGTAGTATGTACTATATTCTTATAATAAAATAAGCTGGAGAAAAAATGTTTTTTCAAATTGTTGCAAATCCCCAAAAACTTTCTAATATTTATTGAAAAATATCCACGTATAAGTGGACTTGCGTGGTTCAGACTTGTGATGTACAAGGGTCAACTGTGTAACTATTTGCTGTTCTGCAGTTTAAATCGCCACCTGCAATTCAGAAATAGGTTATCTGTGATTTTAACTTATTTTTTCAAACATGGTAATTTAATGGATAGCTTGCTGCATTTCCCTCTAAGACATGGTTCTTGGTGAGACATCCATCACAGGGTGGCAGGGGTGGCAGCATCGGGCATGCAAAATAAGGGATTTCAGTCCTGTGACTTGGGACAAGTCCTTGCCTCACTTTGGGCCTCAGTTGCCATCTCTGGACAAAGAGAGGGTTAGGATGCAATTGTCTGTAGACGCTTTCCTTCTGGTGTCCTGTGATTGCAAGAACCTGGGGCTGCACTCCTCACGGGAGAGATGAAGCATTTCCCTAAGACCCTACACGATATCCCATCGTTTCATTCCATGCTTGCAGCAGCCAGCCCTATGAGGTGGGCGGGAGAGCTGCTGCCAACCTGTTCTACAGCTGGACAAACTGAGGCCTGGGGCCCCAGCAGAGCATCCGCAGCTCCCCTGTGGTGTCAGTGGGCTCCTACCTCACCTGGCCCTGCTGGAGGCCGGCACTCCCTCCCCACACTCGGCCACTTAATCTCCCTGAACCGCTGTGTTCTTGTCTGAAAAATGGGATACTTCCTGACCTGTAGGATTGCTACAAGGACTGAGCGAGGCCTCTGTGTAGATTGCCGAGCCTGCATCTGGCTGGTCTCAAGCTCCTCTGGTTTAGGCTCCCTTAAGTGCAACCTCAGGGCCAGCCATGGCTCAGTGCTGGCCTGGGAATGTTTGGACCCTGACGCTACCCTTTTGGGGAAGTCCTGAACACTGGCCTGGGTGTCTGTCTCCCTGGCTGTGAGATGGGGACAAGGGAACTGTCTCATGGATGAAACGATGTTCCTGATGTGCAGCAGGAACCAAAAAAGTTGTGGTTGCTGTTAGGATTGGCATAACCGCTACTGCCAAAATGAGACACTGAGACTGCAGTGCCCGAGCAGCAGGACCCTGGGAGGCTAGGCTGTGTGCCTCCCTGTTTCACAGACAGGGACACTGAGGTCAGGGAGGGGTGTGGCAGTGCCCATGCCAGGGCTCTCTGCCCATGAGGGCTTTGGCCTCCTGTTTTACTTGTTTTGTTTGTTTCTGATGACAAGAGTGTCACCACAGGTTGTAGATGAGCTGGGAAACTGAAAAGTCTAAAGCAGAAAATGGAAAGTGCTCATGATCCCAGCATACAGAGCTGCCTCCTGGCACTGACCAGACTGTGGGCATCTTGGAAGGTTGCCTTGGCCCAGTGGCTGAGTAGAGTCCTGCAAAGCCCCCAGATCAGGGCCCGGCAGAGCAGGACCGGGCAACACCGGGAGTGGGAGCCAGCACACCAATGCCTGTGCCGTGGGGCGTCTGGTCCGAGGCACGGCTGTCTCCCAGGCAGACCCAGCCTGAGGAAGAGGAGGACCAGGAGGTTAAGGACGCAGCCAGGCTGTGGGCCTCCGGTACTCTGAACTGCCTTGGGGTGGGTCAGGGGCGTACGGCCTCTGCCTCTGTGTGTGACACCTTTTCTGGGCAGGGAGGCCCGTCCAGCCCTGACCTGGAGGCCGGGCCATGTGCTGACTCAGTTGGCCTTCATGGGGAAACATCCTGAATGGTGTCCCACCCAGAGACCCACACCAGTGCCATGCCGGCCTATCCTGAGTAGGGAGTAAACAAGAGGTGCCTTGGGTGAAGGGGCACTGGATGGCCCAGCGGGACAGTCCACCCACACCCTCCACACCTGGCCTTTCAGCCAGCTCCTTGCCCATCCCTAGGGCATCTGGGCAGGCACCTGCTATGAGCCCACACATTCCCTGGAGGCGCAGCTGACCTGGGAACCTTGGGGATGTTACTGATGGTAAACGGGCCTGGCCTTCCCAGGGTTCTGGAAGCCTCCCAAGCTGGGTCACTTCCCACTGTCACAGCCCAAGGAGGAGAGAGGCAGCTACTCCTTGGGAGAGCAAGAGCTGGTGGCCAGCCCAAGGAGCACTCCCTGCTGCTGGCTAGGCAGCTGTGGTCCCAGGAGAGGTCGCTCTGTGTACAGATCCCAGCTCTACTCTCTGGGCCTCAGTGTTCTGGCCTGTGAATGGGGTTGGCTCGGCTACCTCGCAGCAAAGGCCGTCCCTGTTCACCCCTGGTGCCTGATTTTTCACCTGTTGGCTGCCTCCCTCCCGTGGTGGGGTGCTTGGGGGGTGGGTGCAGGGTTGGGACGGTGGTCAGGCCCAAGGCACTGCTGCTTCACACGCCTTTTCTGTCCAGTGCCACCTGGAGCTGCCCATGGCCTCATGAGGCAGGCAGTTTAGGGACATCGCCTGCTTCCACCTGGAGAGGGGAAGTGGCTGCCTGAGGTCACCTGGTGTGTTCACAGCTTGGAGCACTAGAGCCCCCCAGGCGAAGACCCACCCCCAGCAGTGCTCAAGCTCCAGGCCAGATTGAGGCCCTGCCTCGGACACCCATCCAGCCCCATTTACAAATGGAGGAGGCTGGGGCAGGGCCAGCAACCGAAGTAGGTACTTGCCTTACTGTAACTGCAAAAGGCGGGGCTCTTCCCACATAACACACAGGGAAACTGAGGCACAAAGTGGTGAAGCAGACTTGTCTAGGCCCACCAGCTGGCGAGTGGCAGGGCCAGAAGGCTAACCATGTGTGCCAGCTGCAGCCCGCCTGGTCAGGATCCACAGGAAGGGATGGAGTTGCCCAGCCTGCCCCAGCCCTTGGGTCTCCTCACTCTCTGCTCTCTTCTTCCAGGGCCAGCAGTTCCGTCACTGTGGAGTCCCTGCCTCAGGGACCAGGGATAAAGATGGCTTCCCACGACCCTTGAGGACCCTGGGACCCCCGCCGTACCACCCTGCCACCACTGGTGCCCAGAGCTCTGCCCGGAAAGCGGGCCCGGCTGCAGCAAGCCCACACCACTGGCAGGCCAAGGGTGGCCCCCTGTCCCGCACGCTGCCGGGTCCTGGGAGCCCGAGGCCAGCCCAAAATGCCAGGCCCCTGGCCAGGGAGCGTCCAAGTCCTTTCGGAATCCCATACTCCAAACTGTCCGAGTCAAAGCACCTGAAGGCAAGGACGGGTGGTAGCCAGTGGGCCTCATCTGATTCTAAACGGAGGGCCCAGGCCCTCCGGGACCACAAGAACCCCTAGAGCCCTGTCCCCAGGCCTGGAGCCCCGCCATCCACAGCCTCCACCCCAGCCCAGAATCTCATATAGGTGTTTGTGGTGCCCTGACAGGGGTCAGCAGATGGGCCGCTGGACCCCCAGAGAGGCGGAAGGTGGGGCAGGCAGCAGTGCCAGCACTCACCTGGTCAGTGCACCAGTACCAGGTGGCAATGATGGTCAGACCGAAGGTCATGCCAGTCCACGGGAGGTCCCCTGTGTAGGGATCTCGGAACATGTGCATGGCGTCTGTGCGCGGCAGGTGGCAGCTCGTGTTGGCGATGGTTCTGGTTGGGATGGCCTGGGCATAGACTGCTGCCAGCTGCTCGTACCCACCGATCTGGTTGAAAGCTGGAGGGGTCGGGGCAGGGCAGGGGTGGGTTGGTAGCTGGTGGCCCTGACTCCCTGCCCTCCATGGCCCTCATCTCCCAAGTAACTTCCTAATGCATCAAACTTGACTTTTTCCCACTTAACCTTTCCCATATCTGGAAAGGTGTGGAGGGTAGAGGGTTTTAAAAAAAGGTAAATTCAAATGACTATTTTATTTGTATTTAAAATAATACTATTAAATAAGCGTTTTGCACATGGGCACGTGAGTATCCTTTTGCCCTCTGGATGCCTGTAGACCTCGGGCAAGGAGTTCCAGTCTTCAGACTGTCAATTCAAGGAAGCAAAATTATTTTTCCTGGCATTCAAGGACCTTCCTGAGGAGTCTAAAGTGTTAAAGTCCTGACCCAGTGTTTCCAAAGGACGTGACTTTGGCAGAGCTGAGAATGGCTGGCAGTGATGAGGTGGTGAGAATGGAAACAGGTCCCAGGACGGGCAGGGGCATGACCGAGCCCCATGGCTAGCTGGATGGGGCTCAAGCTATGAGTCTTTCCCCTTGAGCCCAGACCACATTCTCCCGTCCCTGTTCCTGTCTACCTCGGGGTCAGGGCCCTGCATGGCCATGCCCTGGCCCATCTAGCTTTTGCTGTCTGCAGCTACTACCCTTCTGTCCAAGTTGGGCCTGGCTGCCTGGGTTCTACTGAAGTGGGTTTTGGGGACACAGGCCCCTGGCCTGAGAGAAGGCAGATACGCAGAAGTCGGGACCCAAGAGAAGCCCCTGAGCCCCAGGCCCCACTCCCTACCTTTCCCAAGCAGGGGGCCTGCTGCCCAGCCTCTGGCCCCAGGCCCAAATCCCTGCCACCTGGAGCCCAGGCCAGGCCAGGTGCTCAGAGCAAGTGTCTGAACACTACACAAGGGTGGGGAATTGCCCGCCACGGGATCCTAGAATCTGTGTCTGGAAGAGAGCCCTGTGAGGCCCTCCCGATCTGCCTGCACTTCCAGGGCCGGAGCTCACTCAGCCGCCCTCGGGCCTCCTCCCTGTCCCCAGAGATGGCAGTGGAACTTCTCAGGATTTTGTACATGGTCTTAAACAGTTGGCGCAGATGCCCAAAGCAGTTTTGTGGCCTCCTAAGTGCATGTGCACCCACCAGCCACTGCACCACCAGCCCAGAGCCAGGCCAGGTGTGGCCTCCCTGTGTTCCTGAATTAGTCAGCGCCAGATCGGAGCCAGCCCAGAGCCAAGGCAGAAATGCACTGGGCTGCATGGCAGGGGGAGGGGGCAGCCTGCATCACCCAGGGGAGGCTGGCAGGGGGCTGACTGCCTCGGGGCTTGACCCTGAGAACGCACATTCCCCAGCGCTGACTCCTTGGTCCCCAAAAGGCAGCACCCAGACGCTGAAGAGCTTGTTGCCAGGACAGCCCCACCTCCGCCCTCAGCCCCTCACCTCTGATGGTCAGGACAACAGCCCCCACCACCATGATGAGCGTTTGCAGGGCATCCGTGTAGATGACAGCAGCCAGGCCCCCTGCAGGTGGAAAAGGGAGTTGGAGGGTGCCCTGGCCTCAGGGAGGAGGGGCCGGGGGGTTACCGGGGCTCCAGGGAAGGATACCTGTCCTAGTGCATAGCCCTGCCCCCTCACAGGTGGGTACGCTGTGGCCAAGGCAGTGGAGCCGGCTTCAGATGCCACCAGACTCCAAACCGTCCACTTCCCAGGCTGGGGAAGGAGGCGGCCTCGGCTCCTGCCAGCCTTTGGGGTCCTGCATGTTCCTGCTTGGCCCCACTGATGCCCAGCCCGGTGGTCAGGTGCCCTCTCTGCGAGACCCCCATCCAACTGCCGTGGGTATGCCGTACCTGCAATGGTGTACAGGGCCGTGATGACGAGCATGAGGACGGTGGAAAGGTAGAAGTTCCAGCCCAGGCAGATGTGCACAAAGAGCGCCCCTGCATACAGGTCGATCTGGGGATGGGAAAGGAGCTCATGCAGAGGCTGAGGTGACCACAGGACTCAGAGTGCCACTCATTCCACCTGGGGCCTCAGTACCCCACGGATGAGGGGCAGCCCCCCCACACCCAGCCCAGACCAGGGGCTGTTGTGAGGGTGGGAGGAGGTCCTGGCTGGGCACAAGTGGTGTGCAAGGGACGTTACTCATGTTAATAAAGTCCTAAGTGGCCGATGCCAAGCAGGGAGCAGCAGTGTTATTGCATCTGGCTGCTGCCCAGCGAGGTAATGGGAGGAGCCCTGTGCCCTTGGTTCCCAGGGGTCCTTGGCAAGGAGGAGTCCAAGAGGGCTTCCTGGGGGAGGCCCAGAAGACTAGTGGGCCTCAGAAACCAGGTCAGTGTGCCTTGGTCTCCAGGTCCGCATCTGTCTGGGTTCAGCCCCCCATTCTCCCTGAAGACAGGAGCAGAGAGGCTGAGGCCGAATCCAGCCCCTGCCATCCCAGGCCCCAAGGCACCATACGGCCCTGGGGCTAGCCGCAGAGCCTCAGCCCTGGGATGAGCCTTACAGGGCCTGATTCCACCCCCCACTGCACAGTGGCCACCCAGGGAAGGTGTGGAGGACCCCATCTGAGGGCTGGAGGGGCTGGGAAAGGGGCTCCACTCCCCCAAGTTTCCAAACCTGCCATTCTGGGCTTGCTTAGTAGAGGGGAGGTAACAAGAAATACAGCCAAGTGCTTCCTGAGAAGGCTGGTCAGCTGAGCTCACTGCTGGGCAGGACCAGTCAGCATAAGGCCCAGGGGGCACCAACCTCTCTGAGCTGCCCCAGCACCTGGCCCAACTCGGAGCCGACCAGCACTGCTCAGAGCCAGGCTTGGGCCCAGGGGCGCAGAGTCCAGGCAGAAACAGGGCCTTACTCCAAAGCCCGTGTTTCTGCCCCTGGCCCTCCAGGCTCCTCTGCCCTCTTGGAGAGGCCGGCCAGTGTGCAGACTGAGAGGCAGCCCCTCACTCTGGCCCCAGCTTCTTCGTGTGTGTGTGTGTGTGTGTGTGTGTGTGTGTGTGTGTGTCGGCCCCTCACTCTGTGTGTGTGTGTGTGTGTGCGCGTGTGTGTGTGTGTGTGGCAGCCCCTCACTCTGGCCCCAGCCCCTCACTCTGGCCCCAGCTTCGGGTGTGTGTGTGTGTGTGTGTGTGTGTGGCAGCCCCTCACTCTGGCCCCTCACTCTGGCCTCAGCTTCGGGTGTGTGTGTGTGTGTGGCAGCCCCTCACTCTGGCCCCAGCTTCGTGTGTGTGTGTGTGTGTGTGTGTGTGTGTGTGTGGTAGCCCCTCACTCTGGCCCCAGCTTCGTGTGTGTGTGTGTGTGTGTGTGTGTGTGTGTGTGTTGGGAGGGGTGGGTGTCTACCTCCAGCCCAAGCAGAAAAGCCCAGAGCTGCTAAATGTCAGAGCAGGAAGGCCCCTTCAGGAACATTGCTGCCCCATCAGACCAGAGGAGAAACAGGCACAGGGAGGGGAGCCCTAAACCCAGAGCCACACAGACCTGGGTCTGTGTCCCTGGTCACCTGTGTCCTGGCCACATGGCTTTGGACAGGTCACTTCACCTCAGCCTCAGTGGCCTTATTCTGCAAAATGGGGGAGCAGATGTAGAGAGACTCAGGTGTTTGGGGCTGGCAGGACGCCTCAGCCCCTTCCATGCCTGCTGGCCTCGCAGACCCCAGCGGCAAGGGGAGGCTGGGGAAGGGCCCTGGAACCTCTCAGGGAGCTGCTTCACTCCACAGAGGAAGTGTAGGTGCGAGAAGTGAAGCCACTTAGCTGAAGCCCCAAGGTCCTGAGGCAGGCCCCAGGCTGCTGGCTGACCCTTGGGGCTGTGGGCTCCCAGGCCCCAGGGACAGCAGCCTCTGCTGCTAGTGCCAACTGGGTGTGGTGGCCGGGAGCCCAGGACTCGGGAGGGAGCTGTGCGGGAGGGCGTGGAGGGCTGACCCCTGAGCTGCCTTGCGGGCTGGGCTGATCTGCTGGGACCCACACCACTTCACCATGAGCACCCCCATTCACCATGAGCACCTGTCATCCTTCACTGGGGTCCTCGCCCTGACCCCAGACTGGCTGCCTCCCTACAGGGACTCCTTTTCTCCCTCCCTCTGTGGGGAGCAGGGAGGCTGGGGTGGTCCCTACACTGGCGTGACTACAAGTTCATCATGTGATCCCATGTCCCCTGCTCCCAAACCTTCCAATCTCCATAGAGGCCCTCTCTGTCCCTTCTGGGTTCTAGAAACTTCTCACCTTTGCCACACAGTCCCTGCACCGGACCCATGGGCCATTATCGATTCTCTCCAAAATACTCCTACCCTTCACTGCCTCCATCCTGGGCTCCATCCCTTTGGAAACAGCTCAGCCGCCCGTCCTCACTTTGCTCAGAGGGGAACTGAAGGCCTCTGCCATTTCCACAGAATAAAATCCACAGGCCCTGCCCAGAAGCCCTGTGCCATCTGGCAGTGCCCTCCCCTCCCCACCTTTGACCACCCCCTCTCTCCAAGCCTCATGGCTCCATGTGCTCCTGCCGCACCAGCTTCCTTCACCTGCAGGGCCTGGGAACTTCTTCAAGCCTGGCATTCTCATGCCAAACCAGTCAGTCCGAAGCCGGCCTGGCCCTGCTACAGCTCACTTCGTTCTAGATCTCAGCCCCAGTTTGCTTCCTTTGCCACACTTTTACCATTTCTTATGATTGTATTGTCTGTCTACAGTGTCCAGCACATGTAGGTGCTCAATAAATAGGTATATTTGCATGTGTCAGGGTTGGCACACTAGAACCCCCAGACCACCCAAGTCACACATGTGGGTATTGTCTTTTGCACTCGAGCAAGTCAGTCCCACAAAACTGAAAATATCTGGTCCTTCACAGAAAAATGAGCTGAGCCTGGCATATATTAATTCAGTCCCATGGTGTGCTGAGTGCATAGTAACATCAGTGAGGTAGATGACAGGCATTCCTAGTAAGTTATTCAGCATGCCAGAAGGTATTGCACTTATGAAAAAGAGGGACAGCAGCAAAGGGGTTCTGGAGCTGTGGGGGCACATGTGATTTGAAAGACTTCCCCAGACCAGGGGGAGAAGTTCCCAGGCAGAGAACACAGCGAGTGCAAAGGCCCTGAAGGGCAAGGAGGCTGGTGTGGCTGGAGTGATGTGGGAGAAGAGGGGAGGGAGATCCATGGCGTGGCAAAGGCCACATCTTGGAGGATCTTGTAGGCCACAGCTGGCTTTGAATCTAAGTGGCCTGGGGTTATCATGACAGGTCTCTATTTTCCAGAGGTTAAATGACTGGACCAAGGTCACACAGTGGCGGAGCTCAGTTTCCCCCAACCCTGTCTGAGGATCAGAGTGGTAATCTCTGCACCCTGCCATCTCATGTCCTCTCTGCAGACCAGTGTCCCCACCTCAGGGATGGCAGCAAGCAGGCCCTGTGGTCTCTGTTCAGACAGGCCACAGCTGGGATGGGTTCTGGATATGCAGACATGTGGGGCATTCCGAGGGCTCAGCCCAGGGAGGTCAGCACCTCTGGGAGCTAGCTAAGCACATGTACTTCCAAAGCCATCAGCTGGGGCAGCTCAGTCCCTCGCAAACCAAGCCCAGCAATTAGGTTTCTGCAGTTTCCATCTCTGCTGCATCCTGGCAGCCACAGAGTTAGTGCTGAAGCCCCAGCCTTAATCAGTGGGTTGTTCCACCATTTTATGGGTGGGTAAACTGAGTCATCCCCATCACAAAGTGGAGTTTCAAGTGACACATCCTGGCTGCTTCAGCACAGCAGGACAGCAGTTGGGCCCCTGGGCCAGGAGGGAAAAGCCTGTGTTCTAACTGTTCTCTGCCTGAGTCACCGTGACCTTGAGCAAGTCAGAGCCACTCTCTAGTCTCAGCTGTCTCATCTGTAAATAGATTGCAGGTACAAGGTAGTCTCTAAGGACTCTCCCATTGAACGTTCTGGAAGTCCCACCCAAGGCACCATTTTAAACTTGCTCTGAGTGTGATACAAACCCTGCTGCAGAGATACCAGCTGACAAACCTGCAGTAAAGGAGACCTGTGTCCACGGCTGGGCTTCACTGAGTGCCCCCGCTGCCTCCAGCCTCCCTCTTCTTACCTTTTTCTGCCCCAGTCTGTCTATGGGCAGATGCCGGAGGCCCTGACGTGAACCTGACCCTGTCACTCCCCTGCTTAAAGCCCTCAGTGCCCTTTGGTTACGTGGCCCCCTAGCCTTATCTTTCACTGCAGCCCTCTGGGCCCAGTGGGAAACCAGTGGCCTCAGCGGCAAACGCCCACACAGGTCTGTTTCATGTGATGCGGGAGCACGTCCTCCGGTTAGCCTCAGTCCCCGCCACCCCCTCCTTTCTCACCCCCTGTTCCTCCTCACACTTCCCTCTCTGGTCCCAGAAGTGGCAGCCACCCCAGATGCATCTACCCCACCTCACTTGCTCCTTGGCATTTGCCCCCCTGCCCCGCCTCCCTTAAGTATCCCTTTCTCCACTAGATCCCCCAGTTTCTCAAATGCCACCCCCAGAAAGCTCTGTCACTAACTCCCAAGGTCCACACTCCACTGAGGACCCACAGTACTGTGAGTCCCTGGAGCGCAGCCGCATCTCTTACTTGCTCCTGTGTTCCTGGCTCCCAGGGAGCAGGCTGGTAGAGGGGGCTCAGGGAATGCGGGAGGGGGAGGAAGGGCGTGAGGGATGACCCTGACCTGGGCCTTGGGCAGCCCAGCACTGTGGCCCTCAGAAAGCCAGAGGAAGACCTCTGTGACACTCTGAGAACGCCGAGGGAAGAAGGCACTGCCAAGCTTGCTAGCTAACTACCCCTGGAAACCTGCCGAAGGACCACGAACCACTGTCCCTGCACCCTAGGTGGGGAGAAGGCAGGTCAAATGCAGGTCAGAGCCCCAGGCGGGGCCCAGTGAAGGCTCTGGATGGACCCAGGCTCACACCAGGGCCACTGAGCATGCTCCCTCTCATGGGCAGGGTGCCATGGACTCAGGAGTGAGACCCCCAAAGGCTAGACATTGCCATGAAGTCACCAGGAGGCTTGCTACAAGTTACCTTCCCCCCCTGGGCCTCAATTTCCCTATCTGTAAAATCAGGGCTTGGGGCAAGACAACTCCTAGGTGAGCCCTGACTGACATTCGAGGCATCCTTTCTGCTCTTCACCTTCTAGTAGGACCAGCTCCAGGCCCCCAGGGGAAAGAGGCCTGGAGTAGACACTGGGCTTGACCTCCAGTGCCAGGAGGGTACACGTGGGTCACCTCACGGATAGAGATGACCGGCTGTAGGCAAGAGGCAGAGGCCAGCTCCCTGCAGCCGCTGCACAGCCGAGACCACACGGGCTCTCAGCGCCCCTTAGTGGGCAGTCCTGGCTCTCCTCTGTGCTGGCTGGAGGAAGACTAGTCACACATGTGGGTATTGTCTTTTGCACTCGAGCAAGTCAGTCCCACAAAACTGAAAATATCTGGTCCTTCACAGAAAAATGAGCTGAGCCTGGCATATATTAATTCAGTCCCATGGTGTGCTGAGTGCATAGTAACATCAGTGAGGTAGATGACAGGCATTCCTAGTAAGTTATTCAGCATGCCAGAAGGTATTGCACTTATGAAAAAGAGGGACAGCAGCAAAGGGGTTCTGGAGCTGTGGGGGCACATGTGATTTGAAAGACTTCCCCAGACCAGGGGGAGAAGTTCCCAGGCAGAGAACACAGCGAGTGCAAAGGCCCTGAAGGGCAAGGAGGCTGGTGTGGCTGGAGTGATGTGGGAGAAGAGGGGAGGGAGATCCATGGCGTGGCAAAGGCCACATCTTGGAGGATCTTGTAGGCCACAGCTGGCTTTGAATCTAAGTGGCCTGGGGTTATCATGACAGGTCTCTATTTTCCAGAGGTTAAATGACTGGACCAAGGTCACACAGTGGCGGAGCTCAGTTTCCCCCAACCCTGTCTGAGGATCAGAGTGGTAATCTCTGCACCCTGCCATCTCATGTCCTCTCTGCAGACCAGTGTCCCCACCTCAGGGATGGCAGCAAGCAGGCCCTGTGGTCTCTGTTCAGACAGGCCACAGCTGGGATGGGTTCTGGATATGCAGACATGTGGGGCATTCCGAGGGCTCAGCCCAGGGAGGTCAGCACCTCTGGGAGCTAGCTAAGCACATGTACTTCCAAAGCCATCAGCTGGGGCAGCTCAGTCCCTCGCAAACCAAGCCCAGCAATTAGGTTTCTGCAGTTTCCATCTCTGCTGCATCCTGGCAGCCACAGAGTTAGTGCTGAAGCCCCAGCCTTAATCAGTGGGTTGTTCCACCATTTTATGGGTGGGTAAACTGAGTCATCCCCATCACAAAGTGGAGTTTCAAGTGACACATCCTGGCTGCTTCAGCACAGCAGGACAGCAGTTGGGCCCCTGGGCCAGGAGGGAAAAGCCTGTGTTCTAACTGTTCTCTGCCTGAGTCACCGTGACCTTGAGCAAGTCAGAGCCACTCTCTAGTCTCAGCTGTCTCATCTGTAAATAGATTGCAGGTACAAGGTAGTCTCTAAGGACTCTCCCATTGAACGTTCTGGAAGTCCCACCCAAGGCACCATTTTAAACTTGCTCTGAGTGTGATACAAACCCTGCTGCAGAGATACCAGCTGACAAACCTGCAGTAAAGGAGACCTGTGTCCACGGCTGGGCTTCACTGAGTGCCCCCGCTGCCTCCAGCCTCCCTCTTCTTACCTTTTTCTGCCCCAGTCTGTCTATGGGCAGATGCCGGAGGCCCTGACGTGAACCTGACCCTGTCACTCCCCTGCTTAAAGCCCTCAGTGCCCTTTGGTTACGTGGCCCCCTAGCCTTATCTTTCACTGCAGCCCTCTGGGCCCAGTGGGAAACCAGTGGCCTCAGCGGCAAACGCCCACACAGGTCTGTTTCATGTGATGCGGGAGCACGTCCTCCGGTTAGCCTCAGTCCCCGCCACCCCCTCCTTTCTCACCCCCTGTTCCTCCTCACACTTCCCTCTCTGGTCCCAGAAGTGGCAGCCACCCCAGATGCATCTACCCCACCTCACTTGCTCCTTGGCATTTGCCCCCCTGCCCCGCCTCCCTTAAGTATCCCTTTCTCCACTAGATCCCCCAGTTTCTCAAATGCCACCCCCAGAAAGCTCTGTCACTAACTCCCAAGGTCCACACTCCACTGAGGACCCACAGTACTGTGAGTCCCTGGAGCGCAGCCGCATCTCTTACTTGCTCCTGTGTTCCTGGCTCCCAGGGAGCAGGCTGGTAGAGGGGGCTCAGGGAATGCGGGAGGGGGAGGAAGGGCGTGAGGGATGACCCTGACCTGGGCCTTGGGCAGCCCAGCACTGTGGCCCTCAGAAAGCCAGAGGAAGACCTCTGTGACACTCTGAGAACGCCGAGGGAAGAAGGCACTGCCAAGCTTGCTAGCTAACTACCCCTGGAAACCTGCCGAAGGACCACGAACCACTGTCCCTGCACCCTAGGTGGGGAGAAGGCAGGTCAAATGCAGGTCAGAGCCCCAGGCGGGGCCCAGTGAAGGCTCTGGATGGACCCAGGCTCACACCAGGGCCACTGAGCATGCTCCCTCTCATGGGCAGGGTGCCATGGACTCAGGAGTGAGACCCCCAAAGGCTAGACATTGCCATGAAGTCACCAGGAGGCTTGCTACAAGTTACCTTCCCCCCCTGGGCCTCAATTTCCCTATCTGTAAAATCAGGGCTTGGGGCAAGACAACTCCTAGGTGAGCCCTGACTGACATTCGAGGCATCCTTTCTGCTCTTCACCTTCTAGTAGGACCAGCTCCAGGCCCCCAGGGGAAAGAGGCCTGGAGTAGACACTGGGCTTGACCTCCAGTGCCAGGAGGGTACACGTGGGTCACCTCACGGATAGAGATGACCGGCTGTAGGCAAGAGGCAGAGGCCAGCTCCCTGCAGCCGCTGCACAGCCGAGACCACACGGGCTCTCAGCGCCCCTTAGTGGGCAGTCCTGGCTCTCCTCTGTGCTGGCTGGAGGAAGACGCCCAGGCCAACCCCGGCCCTGCCACTGACCCCTCATACCAAGAACTCCCCTACACCTCTATATCTGGAACCTGGGGCAAAGCAGGAGTCACAAGGCCTGTACTCTGTCTCCCACTATGCCGGCTGCCAAGCCTACATTCCGGGAGCCCTGGACTGGCTATCACAGAATCACTGTGTGTCCCTTGGGCAAGTCATTGTCTCTCCCTGGGCCTCGGTTTCCCCAGCTGTTAACCAAGACAAAGACAGTGAGAGGCTGTCAGGCCCATTTGAGGGGCCCCCAGAGCAGGGATGTTTGAAGGCCATGCTGGCTGGAAGCTGGGGGTGGGGACAGCTCACCGATATCTTGGTGAAGACGGACAGCAGCAGGGACAGGACAGACAGGTACATGCGGATCCGCTGGCCTCCATAGCGCTTCTGAATGTATTCAGGCATGGTGATGATCTGGAGGAGGTAGGGGGTGGGGGCTAGCACTGCCCTGAGACCTTGCCCCGCATCCAGGGCCTGGGGCTTCTCAAGGGCAAGGCCCAGGTCCACTGACTCATATGGTCCCAGCACTGAGCACTGAATCCCTGACAAAGGGCTCTGACCAGACCCTAAGGGTCTTAGACAGGGTTGTGGCAGACAGAGATCAGTTCTTCAGGGCTGGTATGAAGAATGGATTGGAGGGGCTGCAGCTGGGGACACAGAGAAAAGTTTGGAGCCTATGACAAAACCAGATGAGCTATGATGAGGCTAGGAGGGAACGTGGCTGTGACAGACTGAGAGGTCCAGGAAAGGAATCCACTGGACTTAGTGACCACCCAGCTCGGGCCAATGGAGTGGGCAAAGTCCAGGACAGTGTCGCCCAGGTGTGCCACCTAGGTTTGCAGTCCAGGTGTGCAACCTGGTGTGCTTTGGTAGATGGAGAATCATCTCCAAGATGAAGCATGCAGGGGCAATGGAAACCAGTAGGAAAGGCACCTGGCTACGTCTGAGGGGACCTGCTTTCATGGGCTGATGGGAATGTTAGTTGGACTAATACCAAACCAGCTCTGAGAGTTGTGAGTTCACTCACCAACTTGTGAGTGAAGCCAGAGGCTCCTGCTTGTCACCACCACCAACTCAGACCAAGGCCCAGACCCAAGTGAGGCCGCCCTGAGGACCCTGGAGCACACTCACCCCTGAGGACATGTAGATGGGCACAAACACCCATGCCAGGGCCAGCAGCACATACGTGGCCTGAGGGGGACAGAGGCAGAGTGAGGGTAGTGACCACAGCTCCCACGAGCCTTATTCCAAAGATGCAGTGGGCCCAGTGATCTGGACACCTGACCTGCTGTGACAGCCGGAGGCTGCTCCTTCCCCTCTCTGTGCCCGGACCCAGGCCGACAGCTCCCTTCCCACTGGCCTACCCAGCACTCTGGCTTTCTGAAGATCTGACTTCCCCAGGACCCCCACCTGTCTGGACATCAGCTGCCTTGAGTTGCTGGGAGCTGCCCCTCTGGCCCGTGAGGGATACACTCTGACGGAGCCCCCATCCAGTGCCTTTCAAGGTTCCCTCACCCTTCAGCCACCCTCTGGGAGCTCACATTCCATTCGAAGCCTGCCACAGCCACCCCTCCAGCCGCGCCCGAGCCTGCCAATCCAATGAAGAGGCCTGAGCCCTCGCTGCTGGCAAACAGGGAGGCTCCGATCTGGAGGAGAGAGAGGAAAAGATATTTGCTGCAGGCCCACCCAGACCACAAAGTCCCCACCCTCTACACAATTCCCAGCACCCATCCCTACACCCTCAGCTCAGGGACCCCTGCCAGCCTCGGCCTGCTCCATCACTCCTGCTTGGCCTGCCTGGGTGGTGAGCTCCGGGATGCAGGTGCTGGCTGACCTGGAGGCCAAATGTGGTACCACTGGGAGGAGGAGTGGGGAGACTCAGCGTGCACTTACCGGCCACCACAGCATGTCCCGGCCTGCCAGGAAGTAACCTCTCACTGTGTTCCTGCTGGCCCGACAGGAGGACTGCAAGAACAGAGGCACACAGTGGGACCCTTGTGCATCACTGGGGGGAGCTGCTTACTATTTACAACAGCCAAGAAATGGAAGCAACCTAAGTGTCCATCAGTAGATGAATGGATAAAGATGTGGTACATATACACAATGGAATATTATTCAGCCATAAGAAGAAAACAAATCCTACCATTTGCAACAACATGGATGGAGCTAGAGGGTATTATGCTCAGTGAAATAAGCCAGGTGGAAAAAAACAAGTACCAAATTATTTCACTCATCTGTGGAGTATAAGAACAAAGGAAAAACTGAAGGGACAAAACAGCAGCAGACTCACAGAACCCAAGAATGGACTAACAGTTACCAAAGGGAAAGGGACTGGGGAGGATGGGTGGGAAGGTAGGGATAAGAGGGGGGAGAAAGGGGGCATTACGATTAGCATGTATAATGTGGGGGGGTGCACGGGGAGGGCTGTGCAACACAGAGAAGACAAGTAGTGACTCAATAGCGTCTTACTACGCTGAGGGACAGTGACTGTAATGGGGTATGTAGGGGGGACTTGATGATGGGAGGAGTCTAGTAACCATGATGTTGCTCATGTAATTGTACATTAATGATACAAAAAAAAAGATGGTGCAGCTGCTGTGGAAAATGGGCTGTGGGTTCCTCACAGAATTAGCACCCTATGACCCAGCAATTCCACTCTCAGGTTTATTCCAAAAGAACTGAAAACAGGTGTTCAAACAAAACTTGCACATGGATTTTCATAGCAGCATTATTCACCATAGAAAAAAGTGGAAACAACTTGTGTGGAGAATATGGGAATTTCTGACCAGGATTTCTGCCCGGCCTTAATAGCACCCATTGTATATATATAAGAACCTGTTTGCATATCTGTGGAATGTTTACCGGGGACAGGGAGGCTGGGCAGTCATGGGAGTACCAGCACAGGGGAGGGTTGGAGAGGAAACACCCATTCTCTCTTCTCCTCAGCTTCTGGTACATAAGGTCAGGCATGCGCCAATCACTAGAGACCCTCCCACAGAGTTCTCCAAGTGCCAGGGGTGGGGAAGCAGAGAGCAGGCAGAGTGGGGAGAGAGCGGTGTGAGTGTCGGATCCAGGGGAGCCTGGAGAGTGGAGAAGGGAAGCCTGAAGGGAGAACTCGGGGAGAGCAGCAGCTGGTGGAGGGAAGCTGTGGAGCCCTAGTGCTAGCAGAGGATTAAGCCGGTGCTGGGAGCAGGGGGTAGCAGTGTCCGAGCAAATAAACATGGTAGGAACCCCTTTTGATGCCCCACCTTCTTGCCCTTGCCTTTATTAGGTCTGATTAAATTCATTGAGAACTTGCCCCAGGCAGGCAATTCCCTACTCCCAGATCAACATTATTGGCACAGTTGGCAGGATACGTTGAGACCAAAGAACTGCCCAAATAGGAGTGATGCTTCAGTGGGCTGAGCACCTGGGTATCCCCAAATGGGGGTGTGGTCTGGGGTGGCTTGCTTCCTAGAGGATTGAGCCCCTCCCCAGGACTGTGGGGAGGTCATGATACCTGAGGCAGTGGAGTTGGCCCTCTGCAAAATAGGGGACCCCTTAGAGAAACTGAGTGCCCATGAGGTGGTGGGAAACATGAGTTGGATGTTTCTCAGTGTTGGAAAGGGTTACCCGGGAGAGAGATGCGCTTCTTCAGGAAGTGGTAGACTGGGAACGCGAGTTGTGGGATGCTATGAGGAAGGAGGGAAAGTTGTTAAAGACTGAGCACTGCTGTAGGATGTGACAGTGATGTGGGAAGGGGTAGCAAGAGAATGCAGGCTGCAAGATGTTATGGGGGGATGAAGGAAGTAGTGGTTCCTTCAGCTACAGAAATGGTAGAAGAGACCTCAGAGCAGGAGGAACCAGGGGAGGGCAAGGGGGTGGTGCCTAGGGAAATGCCATTGCTGGTCTGCTGGAGGCACCAGCCCCTCCCCTATTGAAAGCCAGCCCAGTTGTAGTTAAGAAAGTAAAGATGCAACAACGGGGGTGTTCCTCAGGGAGAGATGCAGCCTCCTTCCCAGGTGGTGGAGCACTCTATACCCCACCTCTATACCCAGGCTGAGCTGGTGGATTTGAGCTCCCAGTTTCAGCAGAAGTCCTCAGAGCCTATGTCAGCCTGGCTTTTGTGCCTTTGGGACTTAGGGGTTGATAGAATTGTTTTGTCTGTGTTAGAAATGGGAAAGATGGCTTCCTGATGACTCACCCTGCTCTCCTGCAGAGATAACAAAATGCTTATCAGACCCCAGGGAACCACCTCCTTCTTGACTGGATTATGGCCACTATTTGCACAGTGTAGCCTATCAGGGTGATTTGCCATCTTGCCCTGCTAGATGGCAGACATACGCTGAGCTCCAATAGGTGTTACGGGAATTGGGCATGAAAAATGCCATTTATAACCCAGAACATCAGGACCCAGATAAGGAGTTGTTTACAGTGTGAATGAGGGATCTGGTGCTTCAAACAGTTCCCCTATCCCTCTTTGGGTCCCTAGTAGCTATACTTGCCCCGCACATTGGGCAATGCATAAATGAGGTTACTCGTATTATAGCAGATCTGGGAGAGACAGAAGCAATGAGGGGGTGGAAGACAGTGCAATCTGCTACTGAAAGGAAGAATTTAAAGGGCCCCATGAAGCTGGTGAGGACCCAGATGTGGGTTGATTTGATAAAGGCAGAGGTGGATAAAGAGAAATTGGATGGTAAGTCAAATAAAATCTTGCTGGAGCTGTGGCAGCAATTGAAGCCAGAGCAGCAGTTCCGGCCACTGGGGACCAAGAAATAGAAGCTGGAGACAAAGTCATATGCGCAGCCCATGTATCTCCAGGACTTCCTGAGGGAGAGTAAGCTGACCCTGCCTGGACTCTCACAGGGAGACAATTGGGTGTTACAGTTTGACTGAGGGAAGCGTCAAGGCACCCACCTTGGGGGACTGGCCGGGGATCAGAGGCCACATCTAGATCAATTTATTGGTCCCCAGTGACTGTCCAGTGTGTCCTGGCTCTGGTGCATACAAGAGCTGAATGCTCCCTGATTTACTGTGACCCTGAGTGGTTTCCTGGGACTCCACTGTGACAGATGGTCATAGAGGTGGAGCTGTCAGAGAGGAATAAGCCAAAATCCCATTGGGAATAGGGCATCTAATACTGTGTATGATGCTATGCTTACTTCTGATTCTCTTACCAATAACTGTGGCATTATTGCAAGAGGTTTTGGGTCTTGTAGGCTACGGTAGAGTGTTTATCCCAACTCTCGGCATAAATTCTGAGGCCCTTATGCTATTTGGTATGAAAAGCCATCAGGTGGGGCTGGGATGAAACATGTGCATTTACATTTGCCATTGCAAAACAGACCCATCAAGGCCCTGTGACCTGGATGTTCATGTGATGACTGAAGATGGCTGTGGCTGGGGTCTCTGGCAGCAGCTTGCAGGCCATTTGCCTTTGGCATCCCCAGGAAATGATGAAGCAGACACACTGACTCAAGTGCATTAGCTAGAAGGACAGCCTGCCTTGGGGCAGAAGACAATGTGAGCTGTGGCCTGTCAGTGGGGCCTGCCTTTGACCTTTGGAGAAGTCAGCAGAACCTTGCAGAAGTGCATTATATGAGTGAGTCCCACAGAAGCCCTGGAGACTCCATTCAGTGGAGGTGGCCCTGGACATTTCAACACATGGGCTCACAATGGCTGGCCCTTCTGGCACCTTGGGGACAAGGCCTGGAAGCTGGCCTCCTGTGTGTTCCTGAAGTAACATGAGAGTGGCCCCCAAAGATTACAGCAGTGTACCCTAAATGGACAGAAGATAAGAGCATCTTACTGGGGAGTTTTGTCTTATCACAGTACATGCACAGCCAGTAGCACTACATACAGCCTCTTAGTAACCTCCATGGGGAGGGGATTGAAGGCCCAGTATACTAGACCAGGATGGGACCCCCTTCCTGCCACTGTCCTATCCTACCTAATAAACAAGATTTGCCTGTGCTGGAATCATTAAAACATGTGTCTTATTGCCCTTAAGGTTAATCTCTTGTATACCTTCTGTGGATTGGTCCACCCCCTGGCCGCAGCTGCTGCTTGCTGAGTGTGCATGAGGCCCCCTGCCAGCTCAGCTGTTGGCCTCCTGTGGAGAGTGCCAGCTATGGACTCAAGCTGAGAAGGACTTTGAATGCAGCTGGATCCTCAGGCTTGAGGACTGTCATGATTTTGTTGTTATCTGTATCATAATTTCTGTTGTTATTTGTATGTGGCTAATAACTCCTGTTGCTGTTGTGGAATCTGGTCACAGTGCTCCAGCTTCCTCTCTCAGGGACCACTGTAGGCGCGTAGACTGTGAGGCGAGAATCCTGGAGGGTGGAATGTGGAGAAAATGGAAATTTTTTACCAGGATTCCCACCTGGTCTTAATAGAGCCCATTTTGTATATACATATATATGAGCCTGTTTTCACATCTGTGGGATGTTTACTGGGGACAGAGAGGCTGGGCAGTCATGGGAGCACTGGCCAGGGGAGGGGTGGAGAGGAAATCTCCCCAAAACCATATCTATTTTGGAAAATACAACAAATACAACTATCCCAGGACAACAGCCAGGCTACATCTACACCAGCGAGAACCCAGCGCCTCATGAAGGGGGTAAGATACAAGCTTCAGCCCGGCGGGACCTGAGCACCCCTGACCCCAGCTCCCCACGGGAGGAGAGGAGTCGGAGCAGGGAGGGAGAGGGAGCCCAGGACTGCTAATCACCCAGCCCTAGCCATCCGCACTGGGAGCTCAGACACACAGTGCGTGGTGTGTTGGGTACTAGGGAAACAGAACAGTAAAACCTGTGAGTGAGTCCCCACAGCCAGTGCCCCTGGGACAAAACAAAAGTGAGTACCTTTTGAAAGTCTTAAAGGGACAGGACCCCACAGCTGGATGGAAGTATCCCGGCACATTCAGCCCAGCAGCTGGGAATCCCAGGGAACTCGGGGTGCCCTAACCCCCTGGGTGGCAG